GAGGTGTAGTGTTATGAAAAATAAAATGTCTGGTAGATTTATTCCTGTTCCAGCAAATAATCCATATAATGCCAATGCTGCTATTAATACAGAACCAGAGTTTCTAAACTGGCTGCAAGGAAAATATAGAGATGTGATGGTTGGAACAAATCAAGGTGCTATAATAGCACTCATGAATGAATCATTTTCTTCTATATATACACCAGATACATATGCAAAAAGGATTCGATCATTAGCATAATGACAAGTATATGCTGAAATTTTACCTTATCTATATAATCATTTGCCTGATGTTTTAGAAATTAGAGTTAGAATTGCTGCTCCTGCTGATCTTGATGCTTTCTTTAATGAGTTTCGTAATAAATGGTATGAAAGTGTAGGGCGAAAAAATCCAACCACTATAGTAGAACAACCACAGAATAGAACTGCATTAGAAAAGCTTGCAGATATAGCAGTACGTCTTGGCTATACTGGTGACATAACAAATCCTGTAGCAATACATACTTTTATTGAGAGTGATCTTACCAGAAAGTTAGGTGGACAAACACAACATCTAAGAATAGATCACTTCGGAACTGGTCAGGTTAAAAAGGTGACAAAGACAACCAAATCTTCTCCTAAACGTCATTGCTCAAACTGTGGTAGAACAGGTCATTCCAAGAACAAGTGTTCACGGAGTAGATGTACTAAGAAAGTTAACAATACTCACATAGTTGACTATGAAGAATCTGAAAGTGATGAGGAAACTGATGAAGAAACTGAGGAAGAGTTAACTGAAGAAGAGGAGGAGGAGGATGAACCTCAGAATTGCTTTAGTGTAAAAAAAAAACTTGTCGACGTGGAGTTTTGGTAAAAAACAAAGGGAAGAAATCCCGTACTTCCAAATCTAAAAGAGAACCTATTCTCAAGAAAACTGATGAAGTCTTTCATGCAGCACTGAAGTCTATAATTGCTTCACTAGCAGTACAATGTCCTAAAGAAATCCTCCTACAGATTAATGCTTATACCAATCAAGCATATGAGAATCTGAAAGACCCGCTTTTAAATCATTTTGTTAGTGACTATCCAGTTAGTGAAAGTAAGAAACTCTGGGATGTTCTTTCAGCAAATATGCAAGACATTTTATCTCCTTTGGTTCATATTGTTAATACTACAATAACGCCGCTATTGCCAACTCCTCCTGTAGATGCGCCACCTGAAGTAGAACAAAAAGATGATAAAACATTGAATCATGCAATTCGTGCTTATCAGCAGAAAAACTTATACTGGCCAAGACCCATAGAAATCAACTTTCTGCGGTTAGATGATCCCAATGATGTTGCGACCATTTCCTGTAAAATCAAAAATGTATGCATACCCTATGCTATGATCGATACAGGGTCTGACTCCTCAGTAATCTCTGAAAATGTAGCTAAGCATCTAGGTCTCAAAATAGATCGGAAGAATGTGCATGCGCTTAATGGTGTAGCTGGATCAACCAAAACTCTTGGCACTATCAATGAGATCCCTATAACCATCGGAGAAGGAGAAAATTTGATCACCATTTCAGATGAATTTTCTGTCATACCTACTGAGAAGGATCGAAATGGTAAGGACAAATCATTGCTAATACTTGGTACACAGTGGCAGTATCGTGCAGGATGGGAACCGGTAGTAAAGGGAGAATTCAAAGCTAATGTGAATGGTAAGTCTATTTCCATTCCTCTTTCTGTTCACAAGGCTCAGCGAAATGTCTTTTCAGTTGAGGTTAAAAAAAACTAACTGATCGCACCTGCCAGTATTGTAATAAGGAGTTTCCCTATCCTTCTTATCTCAGACAACATTTTTTACGAAAAAACCCATGTGCAATAAAAGAATCCCATGTGCATCCCACGCAAAGCCCATGCGAAGTTAAAAAATCTCATGTGCAACCCACGCAAAGCCCATGCGAAGTTAAAAAATCCCATGCGCAACCCATGCAAATTCTATGCGCAGTTACCACTGAAGGAGGAGGAAAAAAATCCCATGTGCAAACCATGCAAAGACCGGAGCAAGCAACTGTTCCTATTCGACTATTTCTCTCCTCTGGTTATGAATAGATGTAAAATAACGTTCTCTAACGTAATTCAAATCATATCCAGGATGAAGATTATTGGGTTTAGGAAGACGATCTCCACATAAAACAATATCATAGGCCATGTTTGGTGATGATTTACGAAGTTTATAACAGTATTAGTGTTTATATGATGATTTGCGAAGTTTATACTATGTATTTATCAGATTCAGTCGATCAGAGGTCCCTTAGGACCGGACAACTCGAAGGATTACCAGCTCGGAGGATGTTCATCAAGCCACATGCGTGTACTCCTGTGCAACAAAATAAATGATCACACGGCAGGGTCTGTACAACATCCACATTTTTCACATATACCCCCACTTGGTATTTTTGCGCAAATAAAATTCTTTTTTATTCTTGTCCTCACACACCGTACTTTGAGCCAATAACATTTCGCAAAAAACAGTATAAAACCCGAAAATGTCAGTCACGTTATTCTGCCTTGTCAAAGGAAATACGACCGCGAACGCTTTCGAAGTTGATATTGAGAAGGACAAGTCTATTAGCAAACTCAAGGACGCCATAAAGGCGAAAAAAGCACCAGAGTTCGACAATTTTCCTGCGGACAAGCTCAGGCTATGGAAAGTGGAAATTGGTGGCGATCACCTTGACGATCAGTTGAAGAATCTCAAACTCAATGGCAATGACGAGTTGTCTGCAATAAACGAAATTGGAGAGTACTGGACCGAGACGCCGCCTAAGAAACATATTCATGTCTTAGTCGAACCACCCGTGTCAACCGTCACTTCAAGTCGCGAACAGGAATTACTTGACCAAGTCGCTTCGTTGCAGGCATTACTCAACAAGTCCGTGCATGGTACGTATTTTTTACTTACGAGCCGTCAGCGAAATCTTCAGGTCATGAGACTAACCCGGTTATTGCATTATAGCGTTCGATGTCGTCGTGAGTCCGAAGCGAACGAAGAGCTTCAAGTGGACAGTGAATATCGAACACGCGACTCTCGAAGGACTAAAAGAACATATACGTGGAGTTCACAAGACACCGGCCCTCGACAATGATGGAGCGGAACTTAGCATGTTAAACGACAGTGGGAAATTCTCTCCTCGAAACGATCAGGGTCTTCGTGAGATGCTTAACGTATTCGTGTCGAAGAACAATCTCAAGTTCACCGTGTTCATTGAGACGCCATCAAAACCATTTTCAGATTGGTCATTCCCGAAGGTGTGCCAGCTTTATGGTCTTGGCGAGTCAGACGATCCCTCGTTATCAGTGTTCCCGCCTTTCACTTGCGAGTATAAAGAACTGGAAGAGGATTCTTCCAAGGCAATACTCAAACATCTTACTGCGGAGCTGAATGCTCGTCTCAAGGCTATTCCAATCAGCGGGAATGAAGCATCGAAATCACAATATGTCTGCTCCTATCTTGTCGCCGGGGTAAATCTGTACGAGAGGAAGTTCGAGCTTCGACCAGAAAAAAACATCACAGGACCCAATGGACACGGACCGGTTGATTTCGCAATAGACTTGCTCCAAACTGCGAAAACTGTCGGTGTGACAGAGGTAAAGGACGAAGATTTTTTTAAGGGTATTGCTCAGAATGCCGTTCAACTCGAATCCGCATTATCAAACCGTAAACGTAAGGCGAATGAGATGGAGGAAGAGAGTGTGTTTGTAGGTAAGGTATTCGGGATAATCACAGATGCGGAAAAATGGTACTTTATGGAATGTTCGCTCGATGATCAGGACAGGCTAAGATTCAAACTATCCGAACCTATTGTCGTTGTATACAAGGACGAGAATATGGAAAACATGGTTAGGAAAGTTCTCGGACATATTGCATGGTTATTGGAGGAGGTGCAGAAGCCGGATTCAGCTTCACAAAGTGAAGAGAGGGCAATAAAAAAGCCTAGGTCATCGGGTAATCTTAAGGAAAAATCGGATACGGTCGTTAAGTCATAGGATAGAAAATTAGTCATGTATCACGGGCAAAGTCCCGAGCATTTTAACTCGTACTTCAACACCTGTATAATGGGATGCGTCCCGAACCAATGTATTTATTTTTTATCCTCAGTCTGTATTAATAAAACATTCACTCGAAAACACGTACACACACGTTTTAAATGGCAAAGAAATAGATTTTATTATTCATGATATATAGGTTTTGCAAACGAAAAATAAAACGGATAGCGGATGTTTCAAGTGAGGAATTTGCCGGCCACTAGACCATATAATGGCAGTTCCTTCCCGCTATCCTTTACTAACTATTGTTAATTTCATTATTGATATTACTACTGCTATTGATATTACTACTACTATTACTCGCGAAACTAACTACCCTTTTCCCCTCCCTTTCTATCCATGGAGTTAATTTATCCATCGTAGTTTTTCTTGGATTCGTTCTGTGATGATAGAAACTGGCTAATGTGCCAGGACTTAGTCCGATCTCATCGGATAATATATTGTACATTTGTGTAGGAGAGCGATTCCCCTTTTTTCTTCTCTGATCGAAAATGGCAGTGAATTCAACCCAATACATTTCTGTTTCGTCGTCATACTCGGAACGTTTGCCAGTAGTTGAACGACTTGCAGAAGAGAATCGGTTTGATCCTACTAGAAGAAATGAGGCGCAGGTTATTATGTAACGTCACGGGCAATGAATCATATGCGGACTGCGGACTGCGGACTGTGACGTGCATGCTTACCTTGTGAGATTACGTCATTCCGCCACTCATTTTCAGCGCGCATTTTTTGAAGTTCATTATTTAGCGCCAGGACCGTTCTTTCAAGTTCATTATTTGTCCCGGACTGATATTTACGAAAAAATGACAATGCACCAGCTAAAATTGCGTATGTGAAAACATTTCCCGAAAAAACATTCTGGAGCATATCCATTGTTAAGATGCCTCGGGTATGCAGGGTTCCCAAAAGAACCGGCATCTCATGGATTACGATTATGGAAATGAAGAGTGTAATCAAAAAAATATCACGTCTGTTCATGCTATCTGTAGTTTAAATTGTTTCAAAAAGCACTATGCAATTTTATTTGGGACTTTTGAGATAATAACAGTTGAAGAGTGTTAACTTTAAAAACGGGAAACAAGGTCCTTTTATACTTTATTAATACTGCGCGAGAGATTTAACCGCATGATTACTAAAGGGGTATCCGTAGTTTTTTTATTAACACCCAAAATTGGTAGAGAATGAGTAATTGCGCAATCTAGAATATAGGTTAACAGTTAAATAATGCCCCTTTTCATTGTTATACAGTCACTTCGATCGCCTTATAATGCAATAGAAATCGATCGACGGTACCACAGCATCAAATCAGGGGCATAACAAACATTGTTGACTCATGGTCTGTTTTAATTAACGTAATTTACGCTACACAAAATTTATGCCAGAACTTTCAGGACCGCCTATTACTCAGTATTTTTACGTATATACTGCGGCATATTTTACATATGATTTCGTGACTTATTCTCACATAATTCAAAAAAATTCTGCGGCTGCGGTAGTCACATGGTTGAGCAATAGATTATATGCGGTTACGCACTACACAATTATTATGAATTATAGGTGATCAAGCAAGGATCAGGTAATTCATGTCAGCAGGCAAATGAAGATAAGTATTTTAGTACAAACTACAAACCGTAGCTATGGAACCAGTCTTACCAAATGATTCTATCCTTAGTGCAGAATACGAGACCCTAGGGTTAATAGACAATGATAACAGCAATGGATCTGTGATAGATAATGAAGACGATGAAGTTTGGGATGATGGTGATGAAGATGACTCTGATGATGATCACGACATTTTGGGTATCAGAGACGGACACGATTACATAGCTTGTTATGGTAGAGATGCTTGGGATAAACTTATTCAAGCCCAGGAGGCTCGTCATCGTATATCCTTCTTAGGTTATTTACCCAACGCCTTCCAAATATTTCTGAGCAAGCAAAGAATGGACTATTTGATATATTTACCGAATCATCTGCTTTTGGAGTAAGGGAACACAATGCACTTTTAGACGCACTAGCTGATCCAGTGAATGGTTTAAGTCTTTTCGAATATGATCAACTGTATTACTAATTCATCGGAAGACTTGCTTTATTAATACGCGAAAAAACAAATAGAGGATCAATCCGGCATTGGTTCGGGACGAAGCCCGCAATACATGACGCCTGTGCTAATATACACGCTTAATTTTTTAGCCTTTGGCAGTGATACTGCGGCCACTTTACATATGATATCAATGACGTAATACTGCGGTGTGATTTCGTGACCTTTCTCACATGATTCAAAAAATGTTACTTTATTTATTCGTAACAGCAATCGATACATAAAAAACGAATATATTACGTTACAAGTCATAATAATAGCAGGTTCGCCCATGTCACAACACCGAAAAAGGACCCCCTAGATCGGTGTAGTAATTATAACTTTCTTTTCCTGATAGGTGCTATTGAAGGGACATAATAGATAATAGTAATTATTTTTGCCCTGAGCAGACCAATCCCCCCATATGCCTGAAACTGCTGACGTTGTTGGACTGATGCTCATTCACCACCGAAGAGTCCTGTTCCACTTTTGCGAGTCTGGATTCGGCATCCTCTCCATTCTTCTCCAACTCCTCGATCTTATTCCCTAGTTCCTTCCTGAGATTTGCTACCTCGCGTTTAAGATTGAAATTCTCAGCCTCAAAGCTCAGTACTACACCGTTTAAATACGTTAAGTTCGGCATTCTCAGCCTTCAGCTCAGAGATACACTGTCTCAAAACTTCAAGTTGGTTAGCTTTGTTAACGGACATTATAGAAATTATATTCGACATGAATTTGTTTAATGTTATGAGAAAAAAAAATTACGAAAGCGGGACACTGCGTACTTTATTTAATAAAACATTGCCGAAAGTCGGCTTACAATACATAAAAATTGCGAATATATCGCTACATGATACAAAAATTATTATTCTGATTCTTTTTCCTTCGGTAATACAGGGTGTACGGTGATATGAACGTAGTCTGTATCGGGTTGACCATTAAAATATTCAGAAATTAAAGTCTGCGATTGCATACGTCTTTCATTAACACTGCTAGGATGAATTTGACGAATATCTAGAGGAATGTTATTAAAAGACGCCCCTAGATTGTTTCGAATTGCGGTTTCAAGAGCGCTAACTGTTTGTCCCCTGTCAATTGTAATTCTTCTATCACATAGAAGATCATTAGAAACAATACGGCAGTTGAGAGTAATATCGGTCATACTGGAATCCTGAATACATATGGAGGCCCTTAGTGAGATTATTTGCATGAAAACATTTTCATTATTTTCAATCTCTTGCATATACGCACCTTAATTTTTTGCGAGAAGGTTGAGTAAACTTCTACCTGTCCTTTTACGCTTTATATACTGGAACTTGCAGAATAAGAAGCCGAATACCGAATATAAGAAAGATGATTAACATTGTCGTATGATGCCAAGAAACCTTTGAAAGCACATGCAAGCGGAATTTTCAAACCTTTTCACATGAAGATCTTCCTCGCAAGTCTCAAAGTAGCTTTACGCCTGGCGATCTCGGAATTGCAAAGTCCTCAGCCTTTCATAACATATGCTTTTGACGTTAATATTGACTTATAGGGTAGACCTGTGTTGCGTGTAGACTTTCTTTCACATTTTTCTCACATTTGTTTGGGGAAAAAAATAAAGGTACTAGTTGGCATGAATATTTTTTCAATATATGCGAAAATTAATATGTCGCACAGACTTGCCTTGTGATCTGCCTATTTTTGTCGCACAATCAGTGGCTCAGCAAAAATTGATGATCGTCTCTCCGCAATGCCTGACCTGTTGATCATATTCTCCGGGACTAGGGCACCTGTCTGTTGACCTTTAGCGTTTCCGACACTTGTCCGCGACGAGGACCATGTCGTTTTTTATGTCAATGACAGTATCCTTGTCAACAACCTCGTCAATATCATCTTCAAGTGATTTAAGACGGGAGCAGTTTTCCTCGCCGGATGAATGTTTTTGTCGTACCATGTCATTTGTCATTTTAGTGATGTGTCCTAATACTAACCGCACGTCTAAACAGATAATACGTTATATATGCTATATCTTGTTTGAAAAAATAAATTCTCACCTTGACCGATTCTCCAGGATCGCCTTCTCTTGCCCTTCTGGGCACTCTACAGAAGCTAGTAGTGAATAATAAAATGCCTCTACTAAGTCATAAAAGGCTTTTGGAATGTTTGGTACAGGGCATTTCATAAATGCATCAATACTAGTCTTAGAACTTATGACCATTTTAGCTAATGCCTTTATACTTTTTATTGCATCCTCTACATCTTTAAAGAGACCTCTCTGAATTGTAACATGCACTAGGTCATCGATATATTCTTTACTATGTATATCATAGATTGGATCGTCTTCCATTTTAACTACTGAGAAAAAAATATAATTTATTATTAATATATGCCTAAGTATCACTAAACTATTCTATATCATTCTAATATTTCTCTGGTAATCTGGTTCCTATAGCTATTTTTTCTGCTGTCTCATGACTTGTGCCACGCTCAAGAAGTTTCTTATATACTTTAATACGCCAGTGTCCGAATGGTAAGGAGGATATACCATCTGACCAAATCCAGCGTTTTGTATCTATTGGGGATAATGCCTTCTTCTCTGACTCAATTAGTGATATTACATGATTTTTTGTACGCATTCCTACATTCTTGGCATAGAAGATATTATTTTCAAAAAGACAGTCCCGATATACTTGAGTCATAGGATCGAAGATTTCATCTTTTTCTACTGTATCATCTAATAAAGTTCCACCTAAAGATGGGAAATATGTGTCCTTAGCCATATCACTCATACCCTTCTTGCTTACTCCTTTATGTTTGGACTTTGTAGACTTGTCTGCCAAGACATAGTGGTAGGATTTTGCACGGATGTGGTAGGATTCAGTAATTACATTTCCAGGAGTCTCATCCTTGAAAAGTCCGATAGTCTTGGTATCATTAAGGTCAAAGAGATCTGGACGCTCTGCCATATCCTTGTAAATATCTTCTGTCTCTACATGGTAGATAAAGGAGTCAGTATCCATATATCCAAGTCGTGCCTTGTCTCCATACTTCTCCTTGACAAAACCATACCAGAAGCAGTACATTAAGAGTTTACTGAGACCGAGGACTGATGCACCAATGATAATAGGCTTATTGAGAATAACACTAGCCTTACCCATATGTGCTCCTACAAGTGTGTTGCCAAGTTGACGAGCATACTTGAAGGAGGGCTTGCGTATTTTCTTAAGGAATTTCTTCTCATCATTTTCATTGATCATTCTCATAAGCTTGACATCCTGATATTTACGTACATTCTCCATAGTCTTGCCATAGACTGAGTTATTCATGAGTTTAAAGAAGTCTTTCTCAAATGAATTCTTGGATTGTTGACGTAAATTTGTATTTTTTGCAATATAAGGAGCTAACCAGTTATCTTGATCAAATGATAGGACTTGTGTAATCTCATCTACAACCATGCCTAACTTAATGTAATACTGGAGCTCTTGGTAATGTATTACATAATCTTCATGTTTACTAAGATGTGGAACTAACTTCTCTGTTTCAGGGAATCGCCCTCCATCTAAGTTATTAACAAGTTTGGTTATATATGGACTTAACCTATCCTTTTTTACAGCTATACTATTAACTGCAGGAGGTAAATCTTGTAGATAATCATGAGTCTTAAGAGGGAAGTGCGCTTTGATATTTAGGAAGTAACCACGGGTAGCATCTGGTTTTGTATTAAGAATTACATTAAGTATTTGCTTCTGCTTATCTGGATTCTGTTTGAAATATTCTGGAGATGCTTCCCATCTGTAATTACCAATAGGTAAGTACTGGCTCATAGCCCATCCATACAGATTGTTTGCATCTACATAGGAAATCCATGTAGTAGGTTTAGAGGGATTAAATGAGTCACCCATCTTAGGGTTATTGGCTTTTAAGAAACGGTGTCCTGCCATAGCTATTCCTCCACGTTTAGCCTTTTCAGTAAAATCATGCGTGGTCATGTCAGTGAATAGCTCTATTTTAACTCCAGTCATCTTAAGCATGCCATCCCAAGAAAGTGCAGGAGCAGAGACATAATGACTTGGGTCAAGTCCATAATGATGCATCGCTGTCTGTCTAAATTTTGTCCAGACATCTGCTAGGAGAAGAACATCAGTCTTAAGGTAAAGGTCATGATACTCGCCCAAGTTTTTGCAGCCAAATTCCTTCCAAACTTTTTGTGCATGTTTGTAATTATCCTGAGTGATCTTTCCTCCAAGAGTACTATGAAAGTCATGAATAGATGGGAGTTCTGTCTCCTTGAAACGATCATGTGAATCAATATATTCATAAGGATAAACCCCCTTACGTGTGATTAGGTCAATATGTTCAGACGAGAAGTTTTTAAAGTGTCGCTTTGTGAGAGGTTTATCTGTCCCTAAATTCTTTGCAAGGTTTGCAAGACTGGAGGCCATGAACTGCATGCTGTCAATGTACTTGAATTGCCCTACTTTCATGGATTTGTAACGTTCGAATGTCTCTGCAATAACTTTGATTTGATGTGCTCCAATTGATCGTCCAACAGATTCACAAACTAAATGGGAGTCATAGCCACGGAAATTGTGGAAGACTACAGGAATTGGAGTCTTCCATGCTTCTATTTGAAGCTTAAGATTGCATGCATTATGAGCAGCCCCACGAAATTTACCTGTGATGTGGCAGTGATCCCAAACTTTTTTGTCTTGCACGCCCTGATTGAAATTCCCATTACATATCCAACAACTAACTGCTTTAGTGAATTCCTTTTTAGCTTCCTCTGTTACAATACGTTCTACTTTTACTTCTAAAACATCATTAATCCTTCTTAATTCTTTATCAAGTCTGCTGACAAACTCTTCTGTTGCATTTGGTCCTCGGTATAAAAATGGCCCCCATGTCTCATCAGTTTCAATCCAG